TATTACCGTTTTTTGTAGTTTTTATATTTAGTCGTGGTTTTTATGTTGTTAATGAGTGTAGTTTGATTAGTGCCATGATTGGTGTAGATGAGTAGAAATATTATGTTAGTCCTTAAGAAATAGTTGGTTAAGAAGATAAAATATAATAATTAGCATGTAAGTTTCTTTTATGAAAAGAAAAAAAAAATTAGTTTTGACATCAATGTAAGAAGCAATTTGGGCTTAGAAAAATACTTATTATTTTGTGTTGTTTTGGTCATCAAGGCTCTTAAGCAACATGGTCCAAATAAGCTAAAATTTGTAGGCTCAATGACAATAGAAAGCAAGATGGACATTTTCTTTAAAACCAATAAATTATTTTTTGTTAAATAAAATAAGTGGCCCAATACCATGAAAGCTTAACATAAGCTTACCCGGGTTTAATGTCTTGCATTAGTGAATATTATTTTTAATAATAATATATATTTTTCAGTCGAACAAGTAATAATTAAAAAAGAAGCGCTTTTTAATTAATTTAAGCGATAGGCAATTTTAGGCACGTTTGAGATGTAGACCATGTGTTCACACACGGTCCTTGGTCGATTTTGTTTTTAATAAAGTAGTCATGTGTGCATTCCTGCTCCTTGACTTTTCAATATTAATTGTATTTAAACCATGTGTACCGATACGTTCTTTGTTTTAATACATATAATCAAATAAGGACTTTGTGTGCTTGCACGTTCCTAGGCCAAAATTATTAATTATTAAGCAATACTAGACAATAGTAACTTAAGGCAAATAATACACAGTTTATCCAAAAATAATTCAAGCCAAATTTTAGTCAATAAAAGCGACCGTGCTAGAACCACAAAATTCGGGGAATGCCTTACACCTTCTCCCCGGTTAACAGAATTCCTTACCCAGACTTTGTTTTCGCAGACCAATAATAATAGAGTCAAATCTTCTTTTGATTAGGGATTCAAATAAAAGGTGACTTGGAACACGAACAAAATCAATTCCAAGTGGCGACTCTGTAAATAAAATAATCCCTACTCAATTTTGTCACTTTAATTGAAAAAACCCTTTAATCCACACAATATTCTTTTGAGGGAATAGAAAAAGGGGTGTGACAACATGAAGTTAAGGACACCATGTTCTTAACATTTACACTGCACATATGAAGTTAAGTACATGATGTCCTAAAGTTTAACAACAGAAGGTGCAAATACAGGACACTTTGTCCTTAATATTTACACAACACTCATGAAGTTATTAAGGACACCATGTCCTTAACGTTTACACTGTACATATGAAGTTAAGAACACCATATCCTTAACATTTACACTGCACATATGAAGTTAATGATAAGATGTCCTAAAGTTTAAAACAGAAGGTGTTAATTCAGGACACTTTGTCCTTAATATTTACACAACACTCATACCATAGGGCATACCATATCATGTCATGAAGTTAATACATACCATGTCTAACATAGGGGTATTTTCGTTCGGGCAGGTAAAAATTTATTAAAGGACTCGCTAAAAGTAAATACATTTTAAACAGTGATTTAAGAATAAATATAGCTCTAATTAATGGATAACTGTGCATTTCTCCGATGTTTACACATTGCCTTTGACAACGCCAATGTCAACACAGAGGCAGTGGAGCCAACCTAAAGAAGATCGATCGACATATTGTTTTCTTCATATTGTAATTTTTTTTCGTTGTTAATGTGAAATTAGTGATTTTTAAAATAGTAGATCTAAACCAAAAAGTATTTAATTTTGATTTAATTTATTTTAATTATTTTTGTGTACATATACATGAAATTTATTCTTCTATATATTAAACAGATTAAGTTCTTTGCAAAAAGAAATTCATGATTACGCGAAGCGAAGACAACATCACTAGTTCTAAATATTTGACAATTCTAAACTTTACAATTTTAAGTGACATTAAATTATATCTTGGAAATTTGCTTACTGCATAAATAAAAATTCAGTCTCTGGACTGAAACAAATTTGTCTCTTCAATTCTTAGTTATGGAGAAACAAATAAAATTTTACTTGGATTAAAAAACTCACATCAATCAAAAGCACTTATTCCTATATAATAATATGAAATTCATCCTCATCTAAAGTACCACTAAGCCATCCATTAGATATTGATTTAAATAATTCTAAATTTTGCAATTTTAAATCTTGGAAATTTGTTCACTGTATAATACGAATTCAGTCTCTGGACTTAAACGAATTTGTCGCTCCAATTCTTAATTATGGAGAAATAAATTAAATTCTACTTGAATAAAAAAATCACATCAATTAAAAGAATTTATTCCTAATAACTAGATTGTGTTGACCCGTGCCCGCACGTGTATATTGTAGAAGGTAAAATTATTAATTTTTATCTACTTGGTTTTTATATGAAATGATACGAAAAAGAAATAGATGCATGCAAATGACTACCAAATCCTAATAGAGGTTGTAATTAGCATACAGTCTTTCAATGTGTCAATGTAGAATATTACATTTTGGAGCATAATATCCTCTCGCGAGTGTTGTATGGTTGCTGAATGAAATATTCTTTACAACCGTGGAAGCACAATCACGGGCGGAGCTAGCATAGGTCTTGCGGGTTCGGCCGAACTCAGTAACTTTTATTTAAATCTTATATTTGTCTTAAGATATCCATTAAATATGTTGTGTCGGGCTTTATCTACTGGTTGCTATTTTGCTTTTCATCCATTTTCTAGTTCTTGTGATGCTGTTATTTTTTTCTATGATTTTTATTGATGGTACTGATATATTGCCTCTTTTCGTTTTCTTGAGCCGATGGTTTATCGGAAATAACCTCTCTACCCCCTCGGGATAGGGGTAAGGTCTGCGTACACTATCCTCTACAGACCCCACTAGTGTAATTTCACTTGATCGTTGTTGTTGTTGTAGTGATATCCATTGAATACTTATAAATTGTTAATTTAGAATCTGAATGTACATAGGGGAGGGGGGGTTGAATTGTGGACTATTAATACTTAGTTGACTAAGTTTGAGTTTAGTCGACTAGTTTTCGTACAGTACACAGATAAGATAGAGATGAATGCAATGAATTGAAAGCAAAACAAGACACAACAGTTTTTATACTGGTTCGGTACAAAAACTACCAACGATGTTTAGCAACAATGATAGTTTTAGCTCGTTCGCCACCAACGATGTTTAGCAACAATAATTTCTGGATGTTGACACAACTCTCTTTTATGTTCTAACTCTTCCTATCTTTTATGACACTTGTAGACTTAAGAATACAGTGCTTGTAGTAAGAACTAAAGAGACTTAGAAGACAGTGTTTGTAGTTGCGCAACTCAATCCTTGAGTTTGCCAGTGTTCTTATAGGCGAGTATAGTTGTGTATTGGTCTTTTGATGCCACCAATATGTTACCGATCTTTGATTTAAGAAAGGTGTCTTTGATTCCTTCAAGAGAGATGAGCTAGATTAATTAATCCAAAGAGTGCTATATTCCATGTCGAAATGCTCCATACTTTATTTAGGAAATAAGCAGCACTTCAAATTGTCTCCATTTAGTGGAGTGCTTCATGTTTTATCAAAGAAAGGGGCAGCGCTTCCAATTGTCTCCCACTATGTTGTATTTTCTACTCAAATTGTCTCCCATTACTTTCGTCCTTCCTACCTATTTTTGCATACTTGAGAAGTCGATCAGTGTTGATTGATTTCCTCTTTTTAAGCCAACTCATTTGGTTTCCTTTTTGATAGCTTCTAGTACTAGCATCGTCTTCTTTGATTTAGCATTACCGACTTTTCTTTGATCTCATTTTCTTCTATTGGTGCCTTGATTCCTGCAATCAAAGTAGATAGGATTTAGTTTTGCACAATTATCATCATTGAAACTTAGAGTTTAGATGTAACAAATGTAACAGAACCCAGTGACACAAACGGGCTAGAATTCCGAACCCATAAGGTTTAAATCTTGGCGTCGTCTCTGAGCACAATAACAATGTACTCAAAATGACAGTTAATATATCATATCTTCCATTATGATCAGTGGCAACAGTAAGTTCAAGAGATGTTCTACATATGAAAATGCAATTATTACAGTCTTACTACAAATTCAAGTTTAACCTATACTATGTTACTAAAAGCCACTTCTTGTATCTTCTTGAGCATGTCATTTTACTTATATCATCTCCTCCGGAAATTGTTTCATATTTTGCTTTTTTTTGTTTGCAGCTTTCTCTATGTCTGCACTATAGCTGTGAATTATTATATTCTGCAATACTCTAGTGGTGAGCACCCTCCACTTCCAACCAAGAGGTTGTGAGTTCGATTTAACCCAAGAGCAAGGTGAGAGTTCTTGGAGGGAGGGAGCCAAGGGTCTATCGGAAACAGCCTCTCTATCCCAGGGTAGGGGTAAGGTCTGCGTACATACTACCCTCCCCAGACCCCACTAGTGAGATTATACTGGGTTGTTGTTGTTATACTTTGAATATGTAGCTTCACAAATGGTATGTAAAATCTCACATATTATAAAGGCCAAATACATATGTAGGCCCTCAAACTTGTCTCTTTTTGTCACTTGGACACCTAAACATAGTGTTGTTCCTATCAGGCACTCCAACTAAATTCATTTGTGCCAATTAAACACCTAAACATAGAGTTGTTCCTATCAGGCACTCCAACTAAATCACATTTGTGCCAATTAAACACTATCAAGGGAAAGAGCGCGTGAACATGAGAAAAACTTGTTGATTTATTATTATTATTATACTCCATATTATGATTATTTTATATATCCTAATATATTATTCCTATTAAAGCCAGATCGTTATTTTTTTTTTGGCAAAATCGAAGGCAAAGTTGCTTGCAATTTTTTCAGGTGGTATGACGATGAATTTCTTAAGAAACCTAAGAGGGCAAGCAACTTTGCCTTCGATTTTGCCAAGAAAAAAAAATGATGATCTGGCTTTAATAGGAATAATATATTAGGATATTATTGCCTCACAAATGTCTCATCTTGTTGAAGTGATTGCAAGAAGCTCGGCTTTCCAGCTCAAGGTATCGGCTATAACGTTACCTTTGTCAGGCTTATATTCCAGCACATAATCAAATTCGGCCAAGAAATCCTGCCACCTAGCCTGTTTTGGTGTGAGATTCTTATGTGTCTGAATGTAGCTAGTAACTACATTGTCGGTCTTGACCACGAACCTCGACCCGAGCAAATAATGTCACAATGTATGAAGGCAATGCAGAATGACACTCATCTCATTCTTTTTCACAGTGTAACACCGCTTTGTCTAATTTAACTTGCGGCTCTCAAATGCTATGGGATGCTTATCCTGCATCAAGACACCCCCTAATGGCAAAGTCAGAGGCATTTGTATGTACCTCAAATGTCTTGGCAAATTCTGGTAGCGCCAAGACTGGCCCCTCTGTTACAGCTGCATTAAGGCTTTCAAACGCCTTTTGACAATGCTCCGTCCAAACCCATGGCTTGTTCTTCTTTAGCAACTCAGTCAATGGTGCGGCCTTTGCCGAGTAGCCACTGATGAACTGACGATAGTAGTTAATAGGGTGAAGGAAGGATCTCAACTCAGTTACCTTTATAGGTGCCTCCCACTCATGGATAGCACGTACCTTAGCCTCGTCCATGCATAGCTCACCATTGCTAATGACATGGCCTAAGAAGTGCACCTTTGATTGTGTAAACTCGCAGTTCTTCCTCTTGATGCATAGCTCATTCTCCCACAAGACTTGGAAAACCTTCCTTAAGTGCTCCATATGCTCCTCCAAGGTGTTGTTGTAGATGACTATATCGTCTAGGTAGACTACCACGAACTGATCAAGGTAGGGATGAAATATCTTGTTCATAAGAGTGAAAAACATGTCCGGTGCATTGGATAAGCCGAAGGGCATCACCAACCACTCAAAGGCTCCATATCTCGCCACACATGCAGTCTTCGGCTCATCCCCTTCTGCAGTACGAACCTGGTAGTAGCCCTTGCGAAGATCCACCTTGGTAAAGTACTTGGCTTGCCCAAGTCTATCGAACAAGTTAATAATGAGCGGGATCGGGTACTTATTCTTTACTGCAGCCTTATTAAGTGCTCGGTGGTCTATGCATAAGCGCAATGATCCATCCTTCTTCTTCTAGAACAATACTGGTGCATCGAAATGTGCCTTTGATGGTTGAATGTGTTACACCTTGTGCGTCCCAAAGTGATGTAATGAATATGAGACTTGTTAATCATGATTTAAATGATTTTAAAGTCATAATATGGCTATATATGATTTTTGGATAAAAAATATGAAGTTTGGGAAAAATCGGATTAAAGTTGCGAAAAAACCGACTAAGGATTTGCCTTGTAATAGATCTTTTTGAGAAATACATTTTGTGTGCTATATGAGGTATTTTTGGGACATATTATATATCATATTGAAGGTCTTGGAATGTAGTTTTCAACGCTATTAACCGTTTGTTCATACGATACCCGGATAAAAAGTTATAAGCATTGGGAAAAGGACCAATGCGAGGGTGCCAAGTGGCACCTTTTGACTTTTCAAACAAAATGGATATTTATATCCTTATCTCGTTTGTTTATTCAATTTTCCGGAACACACAACCAAATAAGACCCCTAACTTTACTCTTAAGCTCTCTGCAAGAGCTTCAAATAAGATTATCATCCCGGGTATGGAATCAAGAAGCGATAACATTAAAATGATCCCTACGACATAAGTATCGCTATATCGCCTCTCTTTTTCTTTGTATTTTGAGTTTTGGAAGGTACTTCATAGTTAATAAATTGTGTACTTTCTGTATTTAAGTATTTAAATATCAAGAAAGTTTGATAAATTCATTTCCTAATAGTTAGAACTCACGGGACAGTGATCGGAAGCCGTAAGTTCGAGTTATTCACTTGTAGCAGACTGTTTTGTGTTGCTGTTGGGCTGCGTGTTTTACTACTATTTTTTGAAGTTTTGGAGGATTAATGTTGTGGAGAAATGCCACATAATGCAAGGTGGTGGGTTGGTCGCCCGTCGTAATATTTTCGGGTTGTTTGACACTACTACGATGGTCATTTTGTGTATGAAGAGATTGGGTGTGTTGGGCTATTTTGTAGTATTTTGTGGTGTATATAAGGTTGAAAAATAATGTATACATGTTGATATTGTTGTATTCTTATGTTGTTGGTGTTATCTTGAATTTAGAGGAAGTAAGGATTATAGGGGAGATGCTGCCTGTTTTAATACAAAATAAGTTTGCCATTTGTTGTGCGATAGTTGTACCTTACGAAACTTAATGATAGTATTATTATTGTTGCTGTAGATTAAGGTACGAAGATGTGAATTCAACTTGATGATTGGAAAGATTGTGATAAGTTATGTTAAGACTAAACCTTTCTTTTATTTTGGCATGATCCCATAACTATATATGTTTGACAACGAGACATAAAGAGAAGTTCGTATTCATGAATTTATTCACATT